TTAGTGATACTGAGCATTTTTTCGTGTGCTTTTTGATCATTTGTATGTCTTCCTTGGAGAATTGCTTGTTTAGGTCTTCTGCCCATTTTTGGATTGGGTTGTTTATATTTTTCTTATTGAGTCGTATGAGCTGCTTATATATTCTGGAGATCAAGCCTTTGTAGGTTTCACTTGCAAAAATTTTCTCCCATTCCGTAGGTTTTCTTCTTGTTTTACTTCTGGTTTCCTTTGTTGTGCAGAAGCTTGTAAGTTTCATTAGGTTCCATTTGTTTATTCTTGCTTTTATTTCTTCTAGGAGAAAATTTTTGAAATGTATGTCAGATAATGTTTTGCCTATGTTTTCCTCTAGGAGGTTTATTGTATCTTGTCTTATGTTTAAGTCTTTGATCCATTTTGAGTTTATTTTTGTGTATGGTGTAAGGGAGTGTTCTAGCTTCATTGTTTTATATGCTGCTTAGACAGCATTACTATTAATTTGTTGGCTGGTCTTAATTATTAACATATTTTCTTAATAATATATTTAATTTTACAACATGCCATAAATTTACTCAATATATTTACCTTCCCAAATAAGATGAAACTTTTAGAACATTCTAACTAATAATTAACTACTCTCTTCTTTCTTATAATGTTTTTCCAGACTTTTACGACTATCATTTTTCTTTTAAAAACTACTGATATTTTATAACCCTTAAGTAATAACATTTACCAATATATTCAATTAATCACTATGCTACCACTGTTGCATCTCATTTTTCTCTTCTCATTTGGTTGTTCTCTCAATGAGGCTTGGTGGGTATTAAGTTCTGAGTCTGAAAATGACTGAAAAAAATTTTCCTTTTTGAATCATCAGTCTGCTGGACATAGAATTGTAGATTGACACATTTTCATCTATATTTTGAAGATACTTTTTTCCTTCTTTCATCTATCATTGATTAATCTATTTTGAATCTGTCATCCTTTTGTAGATAATCTGTCTTTTATTTTTGGTGACTTTCATAATTTTCTCACCCTTATTCATCTTTGGCTTCGCTTTAATACATGTAGTATGACTTTATTTGTTTATCTGTCTGTCTGTTTATTTATTATCTTGCCCTGTGCTTAGAACTTTTAATTTAAAGACTGATGTCCACATTAATGTTTTAAGAATTCTTGGCAGTTAACCTTTTCATATATTCATCACTTTCTCTTTTCCTGAAATTCTTTTTAGATGTGTATTGGAGCCACTTGGTCCAACACTGTATGTCTCCTAACTTGTCTTTTATATTTTTAAAATCTACCCCACTCCTTTTGCTGTAACCTTCATGCATTTCTCAGCAATGTCTTCCAGTTCATTAACTCTCTCTATGACTCTGTCCAGCCTGGTGTTTATATTATCAATGCAGTTATCTTAAAATCATAGTAATTTTTTGTTTCTCAAGATTTATAATATTTTTTAACATACCTATGTTTACCTTTAAAATAATTTCTTATTTTGGATATTATCTTTCCATTATCTCTTTGATATTTATAAAAATATATTAAAGTTCTTTTTGGATTTTCTATAGTTTTTGTTTCATCTTTCATTTGTTAATAGCTGTACACTTTGTTTCTACTCATTAGTTTTCTTAAGGTATTAGAATGCTGATTTAAAACAGGTGTCAGAAGTCAGAAGTTTACAGCCTGTGAGCTTTTTGTAAATGAAGTTCAGTTGGAACATAGCCATATACATCCAGTCATTTGAGTTATCTCTGATTGCTTTTATGTTACAACTGAAGAGTTGAGGAGTTGTGACAGAAACTGTCTGTCAATCTGTTTGACCCTTGCTCTCTCCCATCACCTGACCCCACACATCTGCACACTCTTAATTTTTTCAATTATTTTGACTTGGCCTGCCTGGGAGCCCTGCCCTGTGGATGTAATAGATTATTGCAAATTCATATATCAAGCTAGTGAATGACTTGGCTCAGGTCTTGCCTGGAAAGCTGTATCTGCCTACTGTTGCTGCCCTAGGCATGCAGCTGTGTATGGACCATAAGCTGTTGTGACCCTCCTTTCATGAGTATGGAGTCCAGTCACAGCTCTGGGTTTCCAGTAGCGAGACCAGTTCTGTTCCCGGCTGTGTGACCTCTCCCTCCACCAGTTTCCATGTAAGCCAAGATCTTTACCTTCCCCTCCATGCACACACTCCAGTGACCTCGCACCTCCACGTTGTTTATTAACTTGGGCTTCTCTGCTGTTTCTGGTCCAAAGAGATTAACATTTTTTAAAAAGCACACTGTGTTGGTTTGCTTTTCTCTTTTGTGTTCTCATTCATTACTGTGTGTTTTCAGCAGAAGAAAGGCTCAGCCTATGAATTCATCATTCTGTTTGACTGGACATCTGTATTCACTTTTATACATTTTTTCCCACTGCAAGTTACACCATGAGCATTTCCCATGTCATTTAATATAATTCTGAAACTGTTTAAGATGGTTTAATAATAATCCATCTTACGATTGTGCTGTAATTTAGTAAGTCATTAGATTCTTGTAAGAAATTAGACTCCAGTTTTCCCTGCACTTAAGAAATACTGTGTTGAACATCCTTATCGATAGCCTTTTTACTAAATTTCTAATTATTTCCTTAATATAGATTATTAGAATTATAATTACTGGATC